GTTCCATATGTGTTTGATCCAATGACCGGGGTAGAAATGTGTGGCATTGTGCATGAAGCGCTATATAAGACCGACATACCATTATTATTATATATACATGCATATATATACAAACATATATATGCATATGTATATATACATATATATATATATGAATATGTATATAGGTAAATACAGTGTTCGACCTCTCGCCTTGACAGCGAGAGGTCTCATGTTCGAGTCCCGCCAGAGGCATTTTATTACACAATTTCCTTATTCATTTATTTACAGGACTACATTCGTTGAGAGCTATGCCACACGATGTATTATATATATGTTATTATCCATTGTTTGGATTGTTTCTTAATTCAATGATTTCGCTTTACAGATTTGATTGACCAGCGTGAAATAGAAGAGCCTGTTGATATGATGATGAGTTGTTCCAACCATGAAACTTGTCAAGGTAGATGTGGAACCTCCTTTTTCGAGTCATTGTGCCACTGCGACTCGCATTGTGAGCTTTATGGAGATTGCTGTTACGATTACTGGAAACATTGCACCGACAATAAAAAATCTCTGAACTCTTCTATCGCGTTTTGGGACCGTACTGTTTGTAAATATAATTCGTACTACCTAATTTCCAAATGTAGTCTAGGAGCAATTGATGAAGACGTTCGCAAAAACTGTGAACAACCAAATCGAGACGATTTTCTTCTTAATATTCCAGTCAGTGACGCTTCTAATTTAGGTTATTTAAACTTATATTGTGCTTTATGTAATGGGGTAGCCATGTCGGATGTTGTAGCATGGAAAGTTACTTTTAATTGCATTGACTCCCTATATCCGTTCCGAGGAATAGGGATAATCAAATCACAAAATATACCAACAATGACTGCAACAATTCCAATGGTTTAAAAAATGTTCTCTCAATTGATTGTCCATCTTCTTACTATTATGAATATGAACCACTTAAAAATTATAGTAAGAGATATTGCCCTCGTTATCCCGGTAAAAAATATTGCCCATCTGACTTTTCAGATACTGAACTAGCATATAAATGCAAGACATACATTGCAACGGTGTATGACCGATTATCTACGGAGAAGTTTGCAAACACACATTGCGCACGTTGCCACGGTATAAGCCGAAAGCAAAACGCTTGTAATTGTGTAGTTTGTTTTTCAAAGAATAGCATATTTTCTGAAATCAGTGTCACACCCATAACTATTTTACTAGACTTTTCTTCAGGTTCAGCCTTAAGTGTAGAATCACCACTGTTGAAATTTACCACTTCGGGAGTAGATTGCGATTCTGGTCGAGTCTTTAATCCTTTTATTGGAGAATCTGGCGAATGCATCACAATCACTTGCCAAAAAGACGAGCTCCTTACAGAGTATGGCTGCATAAAAAAAACTGATATTCAAATGCATGCACCTGCACAATTTCAAATACATCCTGGATACTCTAGTACACTCCTATGTTTATGTAATCATGATAGCAGAATCCAGTTACGATACAACTTTCTTAATAACTTTACCAACAATGATGTTTTGACTAGGTTCACGTCATGGACACACTTTCAAAATGTATCATTCGATTTTTATAGTTCTGTTAAACCTCCAATAATGTATACAATTTATTTCAATACGTCACATTGTGACGTGTTGGAAAATATGACCCAAATAATCTATCAACAGATGAATAGCGAGAATAGACATTTGTTGGAAAATATCACAATACTTCAGGCGTGTATAAATACAAAAAACAATATGACGCCACACAATGATTACGAAAATTGTAATGATCTGGAGTTAAATGTGGATATGGTAAATATCGAGAAAATGAATGAATCAGTAACAGTGTCAGACGAAAATAAAACTTTCACAATATCAGAAAGTGATTATCGAGTGGAAATGACGTTTAATATCGAAAGTGAACCAGCAAAGCCGATTAGAGTCAGCATATCAAATTGTCTTGATCATTCACCTGACCCTACATGTCCACTCATTGCTCTGAACATCAACGATTTTGAAGTCATAGAAAATAAAATTTGGGTGTACAAGCCGAACGGTCGTCAGTTTACAATTGATGAGATTGCAATATTTTCTAATGACTCTGTTTATGTCTGCTCTTTCTTTTCTCAAAACGGAACGCATACATATGTATCAACCATATTCATTTATGATAAAACCTTGCAGATTTTGAACGTCGTTGGAGTCTCTTGTTCACTCCTTGGTCTGTTTTTGACATTTATTATACGTTGCATTAAAAAAGACCTTCGGACTATTTCTGGCAAAATTGTAATGAACATTGCGGCGGCATTGTTTTTGGCACAGCTTGGGACGTTGTTGGCAAAAACTTTAGTTGAATCCAAACTAGGATGTGTTGCTCTAGCTGCACTTTTACATTATCTGTGGTTGGTTGCATTTATGTGGATGTTTATAATGTCAACAGTATTGTTCAAATCGTTCCGTTCTTTAAAATCAGCTGTAGAGCATCGCAGTGGAAAACAATCCATTACAATGCCTTTCTTTTGTTGTTGGGGACTTCCAGTTTTGGTTGTCGCTGTCGCTATGACTTTTCACATTTGGGAATACGCTCCTATCAAATTCTCATACGGTGACAAAACAGTTTGTTGGATACGCGATGAGTTTGCTGCCTTCTTGTTCTTAGGTATTCCCATGGCAACGATCCTTGCTTTAAATAGCATTATGTTTGTCGTTATAGTGTGCGGAATCTACCAAACTAAAACGAGCTCAAAAACGATGCGAGGAGCTTCTACAAAAAAAGATATTTCAACTAATCTCATCGTATTTGCAAAGGTAAATAATTGGAATTAAAATATATTGTTTTTAGTGACGCGTTTATGCTAAATAACAGGTTTGTCCAAAAACAGGAGGCAAAAAGACGTAAATTAAATCTTGATTAAAAAAATTAAAATCACAAAAAAAAATTTGAGTTTATAAATATAATTGATAATAATAGGCTTTCAAAAAAGTAAAAATGTGATAGAATATATGAATTGAGGTATATCAATAAATGTGAAAACACAGAGAACATAATATGAATTACAAAATTATTTAAAAACATAGGAAATTGTAGTTACCGATGATGTCAAGATCTTTGTTCAATTGCAATATGTGGGTTTAGTGCTTAATTATATGTCTTAGTTATGATATATATATATATATATATATATATATATATATGTATATATATATGTATGT